CTAATACCTAGCATAAGCCATTACTTCTTGACCTTAAAATTCCGGTCAAAAAAGAAAGAAACCAAAGACCAAAGACAAATTACGAATCAAAATGTGGTGGAATTTGAAAGGAAACTCCCTGGTCAATGGCACTCAAGTAAATATTCTGTTGACTTTATGTGAAAAAAAACAGAGCAGTCATAGTCAACCTTAAGCGTTATGTTCATCAGGTGACAAGGTGTACAGAAAGAAGAAGCCGTTAAAGAAACTTAGTTGCCGATCAATGATGTTCATGCAGTGATAAAGAAAGAGAGCAAGCGTAAAAGCAATGGTAAGTCAAAATTGGGTGATTGACAAATGTATCTAAAAACGAAACACACTGCAAAGAATGTGCCATACAAGAGGACACGCATACGTAGAGAGTATAAGAAGTAATCTCGTGCAGGAGGGATAGAAAACACTGAATCTCGAGAAGAAGAGCCGCAGAAGATATGGAACACTTCTACCAATACTTTCATCATCTATTCTATGAAAGACAAGCTTAGAAACGCTAAGAAAACACATAAGATAACTGAGACTGAGACATTGCCATTCTTGTGATGGGATCTCATCTCTTCTAATCACATGCCAGCATTTGATCGTTTTTCCTGCATTGGAAGCAACTTCATCCTATTGAACAGCTCATTACTTACATGACCCTAGCTGGGTGATTCTCGGTCAGGCCTCGGCACGAGTTCTCCGATTGAACCTTACGAGAACGGTTACGCGCTTGAAAACCCAAGAAAACGCAGCCCGCTTTGTAACCTATACAAACGCGTGCGAGCAGGAAATGCAAGCAATGCTGTTACTTGATGCGCTTTTCCTTCGTCAAAGCAAATCGATTTAGGGCCCTAGCAAGGAGGAGATGTTTTGATCTGGTTATTGCGCTATCAGTTGGGTTAAGGGGCGCACAAAAAGTGTTTATTGTAAGAAAAGCAGAATTATGAGGAATAAAAAAGTGTTTGCTAATCGGAAACCTGAGGTCTTCCCTACGTTTTTGCCTAAGACCTGAATAACAAAAAGGTACAGCAATTTTCGTAATTTCTCAAGGATTTAAGCATTTCTTCTATTAATTGCCTATGCGCTTAGAAAAACGGTTATATATGCTTATCTTGAAATTCGTTTAAAATTCCCCCGCAAACGCCGGTATCAAAACAGGCTTCGAACCTGTACTGGAGCAAGATTCTGGACGGCTATAGAATGTGTGATTACTTTAATTGAGTACTGAATGAGACAAGAATAATGTCGCATGCATGAACATCCCCGCTAGGAAGGGGAGGAGGTCTTCAACATTCTTGTTATTGAGGGAGCTCATTGCGAATTCCAGGCTTTACCCTAGATCCCATACGAATCTTTGCTTTTTTCACAGAAAATTCCATCTTGCCCTCCAGAGACCTTCCGCCTAAGTCTGTACCCGCTGTCTACCCGACATTCTTGTCTTTATAACAGAAAGCTTGTGTTCTTCATTTCGGGTACTTGGCCAGCATTCACTGTCACTCGGACGGATTACATCACGGAGTATTCGGCA